AGACGCGGATCTCGCGGCGGCGGCCACGGTTCTTTTCTTTCTAACAAAGAAAAGGTTCCAACTGTACTACTGCGATTTTATCCTTTAACTGTAAAGGACTTTTCGGTTTTGATTTTCAATATACATAGGAGGAATATACACGTTACGGATTGTCCCATCATTTTGCAACATCCTATATAACTAGGTATGTAACTTTAATTAATTACACCTCCAAAACTATCAAGTAATTACGGCTAATATTTCACATACATCGTTAGAAATATGTATTCGATCATCCTACAAAAGATCCTACAATCGATAAAATCGAAGTGGTACAGTTGGGCTCGTTCCCTTGTAAGTACATAAACTAGCATTCTAGAAATGCCTATCAATTAACGAATGAATCACACGCTTCGTGATGCAGATCGCCGTTCACGTGTCCGCACGGCCCGGTACAGAGTAGTATCGCGAAACGACGCATCTCGAAGGATGTACGGATCGCCGAGTACGCGTACAATGAGACGTCCCGAGTCCCCATTGTTCGGTCGCGATATACCCTCGACGCGTGGGGTTCGTCATCGATCACCGATGGAATCAAGGATGGAACACATCCGTGGAATATGGCCGGACGGAGCTGACCGTTTTAACTCTTTGTTCCTCGATAAAACGTGCAAAATCGGTTGGGAACGAAACGAAACAAAAAGAAAAGTATATCTCTCGTAAACGCGTTTTACCCGTTCTCTGGATTCCAACGAACAGCTCTTACGATACGATTCGCGCGACATTTACCATCGAGGGATTATCGATTTCGATCAGTGGAATCACGACGGTTATCGCGAAATGACACGAATGCCGCGGCCTCTGAACCCCGTTGTAGTCGCGTCGAATTAGAAGTTTTTCTATTTAATTTCTAAATGGTTGCGCGCCGACGATAAAAGCACTTATCGCGGCTTACGCAATGTTCAATGCGCTTCGTTGGTCACGTTGATCGTCGAGCGTGTATTATATGTATACATACATACTTTGGGTATCCAGTCACGTTATATTATTTTCGAACGAATTTCATCGCACGAGCGTGATCAAACGTTTCTTATTACGTTCATCGTGCAGGAATGTAGGTAATTCGACCGGTACCAAAATTCTCTGACGAATGGAGAAATACGTGTTTGGCACCGTGACCCACGGTACGTAAAATTTTGCAATTAAATTCGTGTTGTTTTCAAAGGCAATATCATTCAAGCGAGAAAGAGCAAATGTTCAGAATTGTACCGGAGAACCGGAAATTTTCGATCTAGCTTATCTTGTTCGCGCAGGTGCAATATGTGAAAAGACGCGTCCTCTCTATGCATTAAAATGCAAATTTGTCCCTCGGGCATTTTATTGATCGTAACTTAGAAGAAAATACGTCTCCGGGATTTTCCGCGAAATGCAAGTTCGTTTGTGCTATTTCCTGAGATCGATACTGCTTCCACAATAATCTGATTCTAAACGTTTTCAGTCCATTATAAATATATTGTTAAAAATCAACTTTTCTAGTCGAGACACTCTGTTCCACCGGTTGGAAAGCAAGACAAGATTTTTGAAGGGTTAATCTCGAGTGTCCCACCTTTACAGATAAGATTCACCGTTCCTTGTTTCTTTTTTCATCGTTAGATTAGCGTGTACGACTGATTCAAGCAGATTAGTTGATAAAATGGAAGACCGTGTGGCCAGGCTGAACGGGCTCCATTGTTGGCACTTTCGTGACACTTACTTTCTCGTTACCGTTGTTTACCCGGATCCGTTATTACGTTTCCCGTTTAATTACATTCGTTGCGTATAGACAGAACGTTGGCGCGGGTAACATCACGTTCTCTCTCTTCTCTCTGTCCCGGTGTGTCGGTCAGTTATTTTCGATCATCGATTATTAATAATTGCCAGAGAGTAAGAGCGACAGTTTCAGTTATATTCGCGAGATCGGACCGCGAAAATTAATATTTCCGTCGTTCCGCGCGCGCTCGCGACTTGTAAACAGACGGATCGAACCCCCATTGTTTAATAATTAAATGTGCATACGTAATTACATTCGATCGGATCGCGCAAAGCTGTCGTACCAAGTAGGCGCATTCTTTCAAGAAGGCCTTCCTCTCCTTACCGATCTCTCGTCGAACGATAATAATCCAGCACGAAATAGTTTCTCGTTTTACAGGTCGTGGCAAAACACGGTGCATCGGCCTCCTCGTGGTGCAATAATCGAAAAGGGAACTCTGGTTTTCCGTTCTGCATCGTACATATACAGCGAGTTTGCAATTGCTTCTCGTTGGAAACCGCAACGTTTCCCATTTCGAGTAACAAAAGGAAGCCACAACAACGACAAGCAAGGTATTTTCTGACCGAAATTCCAAAGATTTCGTTCTCGCATTTCAGTCGTCCCGTTCTCGCCAATTACGGTAGCCGATAGCAGAATCTGCATCAATTGCCAAGAGAATATCGATAGACCAGTCGCATTCACGGACTTCCAGTGAGTCCGACGCGAAACACCGATAGATACGCTGGTACACGAATTATGCAATCGTTGATGAAAATGTTTTCCCGACATTATCGAGCGGGCAGATGATTCCCCTGAAATGAACCATTTTTCGCCGAATCCTGCGTGTATAAAGCTCCGGCGAATGGTGTTACGTGGGTGGTGTCAGCGCGAAAAGGGGAGGAAGGTTTTCCGCGAATCGCCGGGGCGCAATTTCACAAATGGTAGCGCCGTGCGTGGACGGATTCCGTTGGAATTCCATGCTGGTGAATCGCGCGCGACGGCACACGATCGAGCCCTCGTCGCGACAAGCGAGCTCCCACCGACAGAATTGCGTCGAACGAATATATACATATACTGATTAGGAAAAACAGAAATTCAGCTCCAACTTTTTTTTTACCGTCCTTCATGGAAAGTAAAATTATTTAAGCATTTCGAAATTATTACGCAAACGCACTCACGCAATCGGTTCTCTCACCGTTGATCGAGATACGGTAAATCCTCGATGAGTGTTCGAAGGAGACGTTCCCAGGTGTTGACTTTTTAATTACGTTTAGCACTGTGATAGAGCTTGGAATTCTGAAGCCAATGATATTTTTTTCAGTCGTACATAACCGTTAGTTTATGAAAAAGTTAATATTCAGTGCCGAGAAGCCTGCGAATACTCATCGAGGATTTACTGTATTTGTTACGGAGACGGCTCATTTGATCGGCACACTTTCTTTCCAACGCTTAGTAGAACCCGCGAAAAATTCGGGTTCCTCCGTGGGGAGACCCGATCGATTGATCGAATCCCGGGCTCGAATTATCGCGTGTAGTTTTACGATTAACAAGTGTATCCCATTTACGTTTCACCGCGCAACGGGATTAGGAGACGCGCGTAATCTCTGATAGCCAGTGCCGGCACGCACGGTACATCGTTGGAATAATTTGCGTTATCGTGGAGGGTTCCCCCCCCCCCCCCCCCCAGAAACCGCACGAATATCGTCGCCGGTCTCCTCCGATCGATCGTGAAAGAAAAATGAAACAAAACCGAGGCAAAGCTAACGATCAAGAGGACAGAATCAACCAGGTGTAGCTTCGTTTTGCGAACCTGTCGAGAGATTATCGATAGGCCCTGATGGAACCGGAAACATTTCGCGTGTAGAGACGCATTTAATTCGGCTGGTCGCCGCGAAAATTAGTATGCGTCGCGGCGTGCAACGGCGGTTCTCGTTGGTCGTTACGTCCGCGTTCGACCACGTCAAATTAAGGGAACGGAATAAGTAGCCTGGCTGAGAAAAGCGACGTTAAGACACACACGAACTGAGTGACGCGTGTACACGCGTGTAGACGCGCGCGCTCGCTCGGCTCCCACGGTGCTCGGCCATTTTCCCATGGATTTCGTGCAACCGGTTCCGAAAACGTAGAGGCGCCTTTAACGCGTGAATGGAAGACTCCGCACACGATCGCGGCCATTCACCTTCCGCGATTCGGCCGTAAGAATGTAAAACTAACTTTTATTCGTACGTATCTTCCCGTGCAGACCGACGTTTTTCACGTAACGTATCCACTGCCGTTTTCCACGTAACGGCGTCCCGACGTGGTAGATACCTTTCGTCCCCCTTTTTTTCATTTTCTATTTCGCAGCCTTTCTTCTTTTCCCTTTTCACGCCGGGGCAGTCACGTCAGTCACGCGTTCCCACGATATACTCGAGAGATTCTCGCAGACACTGGGTACGGAGGAACACGGACGGATCGATCGAATAGCGGAGAGAGCCCGTGCATTCGTTTCGGTGCTCGCGAGGGGATTCCAATCCCACGTTGAATCTCTCGATGAAATAATTTTTCCTCGAATATATTGACGCAACCGTCGTGCGCTCGTCACGGCACTGAATGCGTCAAGCGCACCCATACGCGGCGGCCTTTTTATTCTGGTTTCGGAGTGCACGCACGTATCGCGATGGCACGTGGATTATGAATTAGTTTGTCATAATTACACCCCAGGGAGTGATTGTTTTTCTAGCAGATATCGAAGATTCATCGCATTTCCTGCGACGAGCGATCGCGAACGCAAGTTCGTCGGTGTATGTACAAGGAATGTTTTGAAGTCTGACAAACACTTAACCTAAGTTTTGAAATTGCAACGAAGGGCTCTGGCTCGTTCGATTTCGCGCTCATCGATCTCGTTGCAATCCCCGTGTCCGGAGAATTCGCGATTTCTGATCGCACGACGATAGAATACGTGAATTATGTCGGACGATTATTTAAGTGACGATGAAAGAAGGAGATGGGATTTTTTAGCGCGACACACCGTGTATTCCCGGAATTCGAGCGCGACATTCCATCGAGTTGACGCGTGTGACAGAGGAAACACCGTCGTCACACGATTTTCGCGCGTAAAAAAATACTGTTCCACTTTCATCTACGACGGGTATACACAACGATCTTTCGAAAAGTTAACATTCTCTGGTCCCATTTTCGAACGCATGAGCGACCAAAACGTTGTCGCACGATCAGTGTAATAAGATCTTACCTAATGTTTCCTGGCGTCGTGGCCCACACCCTTTTCAAGAATTGAACCAACTGTCACTCGCAACGTCTACGGCTGCACACGGATCTTCGCCGCGACACGCCGCCTCGCGACACCCACCGCTTTGCTCTTATTTATTTCGAAAACGCGAAAAGTACAAAGGAGCGAGTCGTCAGAAACGTACACTGACTGTGATTACTGCACGAATGCCTCGAGTACGTCATGTCCTGAGAAGCTAGCGCCGCAGTGCGAACTGCCGCACGCCTCCTCTTTTGGTTGGGAATCCACCGCATGATCCACCGGACCACCTAGGGTTTTTCCTTGCACCGATCCAGTTCAGCCAGTAGATAGTAATTTTTTGTTGACGTACGAATCCTTTCTTTCTCATCATTTCTCATACAATTTCATGCATTTTTAGACTCGATGTCAGTCGACGACGTTTTTCAGCTGTAACCTGTAACAGCTGTAACAGTAATCAGAACGATCGGTGTTTCATCTCACTGAAGGTGTTTCGTATTTTAAACGTTTAACAATATTGGTACGTGTCATGTATTTAGATTCTTTTGCACGACAATTATGCCTAGTCTGTACAACCAAACAAACTTGCTGTACAGAGGTGGGTAAAGTGACACAGTGTTATTTGAAATACTCTTTCAGATTTCAAAGTGACTGTAAATAAATTATAACTGTAAAATCTAAGAACAGTAACCTGTGTACTATTGTGTATTGTTCAAAGACCGTACTTTACCCAGTTCTGTTACTAGTTTATGTTCAGTCAAAAATAAAACAGCATTTTTAAGTGCTAATCTTTTACAAATAGCAACATGGCAGATGATAAAAATGAGGAAGCAAAAGATGATAAATCAGAGGAAAATAAAGAGCTTCCGAAAATGACAGCTGCAGAGGAACGTTCAGATTATTTTAAAAGGTTGGAAAAATGGTTACACGAAGCATATGCTTGGCAAAGCATGGCTGCAATGTTTCCATACTATGTGATGTCTGGTCAAATACTAAATCAATCATCTGGTATGATCATGATTGCATTTATGTATTTTTATATACACTAACTGTGTATATGTTTGTCGAATGTTGTTAATATAACAAAATTATTCTATAAACTAGAATAATTATAGGTGTACCACCATTTTCACCTGCAACAGCAAATGCAGCCAATGCTCAGTCATTAATATTTGGCACAAATGATCAACAGAATGATCCACTAAGGCAAAGAAGGGCCCAAGATCCCATGGGACCGCTATTTCAACCTCCTGGAGCTGAAGGTAGAAGGTCATAACGATAACTCCTGAGTTCATCACATTCCAACAGAGGTTCAGCTAGTACCATATGTACTTTTGAAACAAAAATACTGCATTTTGCATATTATTTTTACATCTGTGCACCTGTGCTGTTAACATCCCTAAACAGAAGCAATTTCGTAGCTTTATCAATGCAGTATTTTTGAACCTTACATCTTCATCATTATCACATGGTGCAAAGTTACCTATATTTATTGAAATCCTAACAAATATTTCTTTCAGGCTTCGAGTATCGCATTCCACCAATATGGAAAAGATTTGCTGCTGAGGTTATAGATTTGACCATGTTATTTCTCTTGAAGTTTTCTATTGCTTTCATTGCCATTAATGTTTTTGATTTCATGTATGTAAATTCAATTGACAAGGACTATAGATTTCTTCTTGACAAATGTCTATACATGCGTTCTATTTTTTCTAGAGACATAGATGATTTACAGATGAACTTGAGAATTGACTATAATATGGCTCTAGAAATGACGCATGGAATGTTAGTGTTGGAAACGATTCACTTTGTGATAGTTTGCACTTTTGAGGTAAGTATTAATGTTTAAAATAATGTAGCTATTATTTTAATCAAATACTGTTTAGGCATTTTGGCTTCGATACGGTGTAAATGGTCGTATCGGTGGTGCAACACCTGGAAAATCTATGATGGGATTAAGGGTTGTTCAGTGCCGCAGTATTACAGCCGTCGAACGACCTGACGATCCTAACGTTGTGCTCATTTCACCGGGAAAAGATTTAGGTCTACCACTCGCGCTTGGAAGATCAGTGGTTAAAAATTATATCTTGGCTTTTGTATTTCCCATATGCTTTGCCATGATGTTTTTCAGATTTAACAGAGCTATTTACGATCTACTTTGTAACTCGATTGTGGTTGAGGATCCTTACAGAAACTTGAATAATAATAGACTACCACAACAGTAAACACATGCTCCAAACAGATATCCAAGGAACAAAGTATATCTAACTTGCATGAGCCGCGTGCGTGCCGGGGGAATGTAATATGTACATACGTGTATACATTAAACATAACGATGCTACGAAGTATTTTTTTAAAGTACAGGGCGATTTCTATGTGTACCAATGTAAAGTAAAAAGGCTACGTAATATCTTCACGATAAGCATGTACAAGCTATTTAAGAAAAAACACTTAATTAAACGAAAATCCGCGCAAATTGTACAAATTATAACTATTGTAGTTATGAATAAAACATTTTATAATTGATCCTCTAGTTAGCGATTTATTCGCTGAAAAGTTTGAAGTAATACTTCAGTAGCGGTACATAAGCAACATTTTTGAATGAACGTTACAGTTCTATTTAAATTCCTAATTTGTTCAGATATAGGACCTAACATAGTCATATATGTATAATAGACCGCGCGGATTATGATAGGGATGAAGTCGGCACTAGAAAGAAAGGACAGTAACTGGAGTCTGGAGTAACTTCCTTTTCTTTCTAATGGGACTTATTGGTGGGAGATTTTCCGCGGCTATAGTTGTGACATACATGCGTGCAGCATTCCTTCACTTTATCACCGACTAGGTATAGAATACACCTATCATCCAATGCTTTTTTCTGTCCCACGTTCATAGGGCTACGTAACCCTGTTACCATTTTAGTGTCGATACCCGACGTCACCGATAAAGCATGAATTCTGATTATTATTAGCACAAATGAAGTGTTATATATTCCATTCATATTACGTGTATCTATATGATTTGACGGGAATAAAAATATCCGATGCTTCAGTTTAAGGTTAAGGGATAAATATGACAGTCATGAAACATGAAACGGAAAAGTATACATTTTTTCACTTAACTACAAGACAATTTATTCTAAATGCATCGTTAATGGACATTTTATTAATGTTACTTTTTACATGT